CCCAACACTCAAGACTAAAGTGCGACTGATTTCAGTAAAGAACATACGGTAGAGTAAATAACTACACATGACGAATGTTCGGGAAATTTGTCTCACATGTCTGAAAGAAAAAATAAATCGGTCGATATTTTGATATTTTTTGATTGATTTTTAAATCACCAAATATTGTTATCGATCTTAAAAATCCTCGGCGGACATAGAGGGACATTGGAAAAGTCATCTGCACTGCAGGAAGATCCACAATGAGATCAGGAGCCATGCTTTTGTTTCAAGGTCTCAAAAAATCTAAAAGTATTTCAAAGTGCAGTCACTGCTGAGTCCAGGTGAGTCCAGACGCACTGAAGCATCCCCGCAGGGTAATACTCTCACCACCATGTTTCACCGTGAGGATGGTGTTCTCTGGGTTGTTCACCTCCTCCTTTGTTCTCCAAGCATAAGCAGCATCTCTTTGGCCAAAGAGCTCTAGTTTGTTTCATCTGACCAAGAGACGCACTTCCTGTGTACATAATCTTTCTCCAGGGTGTTCTTAGCATATCTTTATCTGCAGAAGTTGGGTTTTTTCCTGTGTAGGTTCCAGCGATCGTCTTCTTTGAGACTACAATGACTTGGCTGCATCATTTCGTGTCGTGGCAGTTGTTCTGGGGTCTTTGGACACATCAACACTCAACAGTGTCTTTGAAATCTTTGCTTCTACCTCGGCTTGTTCTGCACTGTGTGGCTCTTCTAGAATTTCCGGATAATCCTTCTCACACCAGTTCTGGATATATGGAAACGCTGTGGTAACTCTGTATATCCATTTCCTGCTTTGTGAGCATCAACAATTATATTAATTCTGAACTGATTTCTTTGTTTTTAGCGTGATGCTTTCTCAAGTGACAGTTTAAACCCTGGCTGAAGTTTTTAAACTTTGTGTTAATTGAAAGATAAACTCAGTTTTAACTTGACTTTAGACAGTTTTAAAAACTTAAAGCACATCGTTGTACAGCAGTGGTTTGTGCTGAGGCTCAATAAAAAGTCAGGGGGCTAATAATACTGACACAGATAACTTTGGTTTTTTCTGAAATAATTCTGTTGTTATTTTTTTTAGTTAAATAAACAAACATGTGGAGCCTTTGCAAGTTGTGATGGCATTTTTTTAAACAACCAGGGCCTTAATAGTTCATTCTTAAAATCACAAGATTCATTTTTGACCAATCAAAACGCCTGATGTTACACAACAGCGAGTGACGCAGAGACACTGACTATGGGAAGGATAAAAAGGGATATGAAAGGAGAAATACTGCTCAGCACAAAACAGCATTTCAGCAGTTTTCTGAGCAGAAATAAAACGTATCATCTATTCATTATTCACACATCAAGCCACTCCTGCTGTTGTTACTGGCTACTTGTGCCATTTAGACCTCCTGGGAGGTGCCTGCACACCTTTTGCTTTACTGTCACTCTTTCACAAGCTAAATACAACCACACGAACACTTAGACCCATATGAGACACACGACCAGCCTGTTTTTTCCTCTACACGGCCCTCAGCAGGAAATGAAGCCGCTGTTATCAGTGCCACTAAGGAGAAGCTGTGACTTGCGGTCTCAGCCTATTCCCCATTCTGCTGTCTAATCTCAGGGGAATCTAAAGTCACTGAACCACAAACCACATCACAGTCTGCTGACTGCAGCACTCAAAAGCTGCCGTTTAAAGGTCGCAGTTAGAAATGTACGCCACTGCTGCTTCTCAACGCCAACCGTGATCCAAATATGACGAGCTAATAATGGTCGACTTGCAAACACAAAGCCGTTGTTGCGCCGTACTTACCTACTGATGCATAATAAATTATCAGCACACTCGCTCACTGTTTCTTTATACAGCAGCTGTCTTTAAAAACAGGTAACCGTGAATATGAGATGATGGAGATAGTTTTTATGTATATGACATATAGTCTGATTTTATACCCATAAATCCATCTACATTTATTACAAGACTTAACTGATGTAACCTATTAAAGATATACTGGCAAGCT